TTGGCTATAAGGGCCAGTCCGCCTACTAATTATTCAATTGGCGTATCCATATTTGTTGGGTCAAGAGTAAAGCGTGTTATAATTATGGAATATTGGCCAGGTGTGGCACAGGTCAATGCAATTTCCATAATTTCAAATGTCAATTGCGTTTATATTTTATTCACCTTGTCCCACGTAGATCGAGACTAGAACTAAAAAGAATAAAAAAAACGCGCACTGTAGCAATTGCTATATATCTGAAGAGAGCCCATGTATCCAATATGTGAATATATATATGTATATGCATATATTGTAGATATATGTATATTCATAGATATATAAATTGGCAAGCGTTACGCACGAGCGAGCCTCGATTATAGCCCGTCTAGCTGCCACTTTTGGCCCGTGGCCCTCGTTATCGTTATCGTAATTATTATTGTTTGCCGCCGATGCCTAAATTGCAAGCTATATTTATAAAATTCGCTTCGATTTTATGGATACATTCAACTGCTTTCTACATATATTTATACTTTTTATACTAGATCATTTAGTAATATCTCTTAATCAAGTTTTTTATTATTTGGGCAATATTTATTGGGGCCTATACACATTTGAGGATGCGACATATCAACCGGTTAAACTACAGCACAGACTTTGTTGTATATATGTATGTATATTTACATATACCTAACCAGTTGAGCCACAGCTGAGGCTACATAGAGTATATCTGATTCGAAGTGCTGGCGCCATGCTATAAAAATTCTATTGTTCAAGTATAAGTGAAGCAAATATGCGACTTGTATATGCCCTGTACTTAAAGTTAAAGTATAAGAGATATACTACATATACGATGGTATGGTATATGGTATTCACTGTGTGATATTACAACCTGATATATATTTATAAATATATATATTATTGGAAATGGAATGGGATCTGTGTACATACAGTTTGGCGTGTTCTAGTATAGAATTATAATATAAATTTTATAGTTAACTTAGTTTCTTATTAAAGAAAGGAATAGATTAAGATCATAAAAAATGATCGATATGTATAAATATATAAAAAAATATAATCCAGAATAAGTAACTGAAGAAGTTTTTCTTTATAAATAGATCAATTCTCAACGATCCTATACAATATTATGAAATCTATGATCTCTATATAAAATATAAAAGTTCGCTTCTTGAAATTCCCACAAATCTTAAGAACTCTTAACAAACAATAATGCACAATCATAGCTACATTCAATGGGAATATTATTATTGATTTCCTTTCCTAATGAAAGTTTGTTCTCCGATTATTCTGAGGTCGCTTTGAAGAAGAGTGTGGATGGGTGCTATAAGGGGATGCCGTACGCAGCTTGCAATATTCTCACATATGCCTTATATGATAACTATTCAATTCTCCGATTGTTTTTTTGCAGTACACCAAAGCAATACAAATATAATTGAATAGGCAGCTGTTTGGGGGAGGCGGGCTTATAGCAACTGTTGCCATATGCGTTTAGAGCGAAATTCGCACGTAAGCCTTTCAGAAACCGACTTCAGACCTTAGTCGAACGTTGGCCGATTCGAATCAATTGTTTTCAGTTTTCAGTAGTGCGGCAACTGCGAACGGGTAGCATCGCAATAGAAATACTTGGCCAATATAAATTTTGAAATAAAATTCAAATATATTATAGAATCTAATCAACAAGATGTTAATGAATCGCGTAAAACTGTTAGCAGCATCCGCTGGCATATTGGTTTTCGCCATTATATTCGGATGGATTATATTTCCACAGATCTTAAAGTTTATGATATCGAAGGTGTGCGAGTGCGAGATCAATAAATCTATATGTTCACGGCTTTCGTATCTTCCATTCACAGCAAGTCACACTTAAGCCGGGCACAGATATACGTGCTCTATGGGCGGCTACGCCCTTTCCCCTGCATTTCTATATCTACGTTTTCAACGTAACCAATCCTGACGAGGTTGCAAAAGGCGGCAAGCCACGCGTCCAAGAGATCGGACCGTATGTCTTTGAGTGCGTTACATATAAATCATAATGTGTTTTTCCTTATTTCATAATGAATCTTTAATTTGTGATGATAGTGAATGGAAGGACAAATATGATCTGGTGGATGATGTCGTCGAGGATACCGTATCCTACAATATGCGCAACACCTTTATATTTAACGAAAAAGCCTCAAGTCCGCTGACGGGCGAGGAAATTATCACAATGCCACATCCATTGCTGCAGGTATGTAAGTCTAGTGGGGATAATAAATTGTCGGATAATATGGAAAAACATTCATAATAAAAATTGAATTGATATATAGATGAAGTTTACATATAACTATAAACACCTTTCGTTTGATTTCATATGAAACTCTACCTAAATCTCTGAATGAATTATAGTATTATTGTCTTTGTTGCCCTTCAATTTTAAGTTCTCAAAGCTTCTCAATCGGACTAATTGAGAAATGGGAAACAAGCTTGGACATAGAACTATTCATATTTAAAAACATTTTCAAATACTAATGAGATGACAATAGCGCTACCACTTAAAGAAAATACGTAATCTATTGTTAAGTTACAAAAGCCTTGTAAATTATGCAAATCACTTAATTTAATTTCCCAGCGATTCGGAATTAACCTAACGCTGTAAAAAAATCAAATTAGACAGCACTTTGCAAAAATAAAAAACAACAAAAAAAAAGAAGAAGACATATACTATATATCAAGCATTCCAGTGCGATGTGTCTTTATGACAACATCTAGGCGCTTCAGCGACCGAGTCGCTGTTGCCTTTGTAAATTGTAAATGAGTTGCAATTAGCTGACGATTTATCAATGTGGCCATAGAAGTCGCGACTGCTCAGGCCTGTCTCCTACACTCGATCTCAATCGTACCCAATTTCGACAGCCCGCTGGAATCAACGTGCAACGTGAGCGAGCGGCGATGATGGAACTGGTTGCCAAGGCGCTGGCCATTGTTTTTCCCGATGCGAATGCTTTTCTCAGCGCCAAGTTTATGGATATCTTTTTCCGTGGCATCAGCGTCGACTGCTCATCGGATGAATTCGCAGCCAAGGCACTGTGCACGGTTTTCTACACGGGCGATGTGAAACAGGCCAAGCAGGTCAACGGAACGCATTTTCTATTCTCCTTCTTGGGTCAGGTAAGCTGTACTCTAAGCTAAGCTATTATCTAGTCTAATCAAAGCTGTATAGTTCAAATATTCATTTACTTCTTGTCCAGTTCATCATCTGTTGAACTTTATCGTTTCTGTACTTAGTTCAGATTTTATATCTTTGCAGGCCAATCACTCGGACGCCGGACGTTTTACAGTCTGTCGCGGCGTCAAGAACAATAAAAAACTGGGCATGGTCGTCAAATTCGCCAATGAGCCGGAAATGGACGTCTGGCCGGGCGACGAATGCAATCAATTTATTGGCACCGATTCGACAGTCTTTCCGCCGGGCTTGAAGCGCGAGCAGGGCCTGTGGGCCTTTACGCCGGACATCTGTCGATCACTGGGCGCTGTCTATCAACGCAAGTCCTCATACCATGGCATGCCCTCACTCAGGTATACCCTGGATTTGGGTGATATTAGTGCCGATGAGAAGCTGCATTGTTTTTGCAAGGATCCCGAGGATTTGTCCACTTGTCCGCCCAAAGGCACCATGGATCTGTCGCCTTGTGTGAGCGCTCCCCTCATGGCCTCCATGCCGCATTTCTATAACGGCGATCCCAAATTGATTCAAGATGTTGATGGGCTTCATCCCAACGAGAAGGATCATGCTGTTTTTATAGACTTTGAGCTGGTATGTAAGAAGCTTTCAAATGGGATGGGATAATATTTTTAACTCCAGTTCATTCTTTCTCAACAGATGTCGGGCACACCGTTTCAGGCCGCTAAGCGTTTGCAGTTTAATCTGGACGTGGAGCCAGTCGAGGGCATTGAACAAATGAAACATTTGCGAAAGCTTATCATGCCCCTATTCTGGATTGAGGAGGGCGTCCAGCTGAACAAAACCTACACAAATTTGGTCAAATACACGCTATTTCTGTGAGTATTCTTAAGTAGAGTTTGACAAGCGGATCTAACAGTGAATATTCCATGCACAGTGGCCTCAAAATCAACTCCGGCCTACGCTGGACCCTAATCACTCTGTCCCTAGTTGGTCTGATGTCTGCTGGCTATTTGTTCTATCAGAAATCGGATACGCTGGACATAACTCTGCCGCCCAAGATCATCAAGGATACGAACAAGGTGGCCAACCAGCCGAGACCCGAGAAGCAAGAACAGTCAACTGCGCCAGTAGCTGTGCCCATACCAGGCGTCAATCTCTCCAATCCGAAAGTGGAGCCGCGGGCGCGCTACTAACCGAGACTCTCATCATCTCTCATCGAAATAGCTGTTGTTATTGTTTTCGTATATTTGTAGTTGAAAGCACCTGTAGTCCAATAAGCACGCGCTAATAAATATGGCAAAGCCCAATCAGCTGTTCAGTTGAGCCGTGAGCCGTCAAACTGGTTCAGACCAAGATGACTGCACTTGACAAACGCCTTCGATGATCGCCAGCGATCGTCGTTGATCGTCGATCGCTGATCACCAAAGCCCAGACACGAGATGAATGACAACACTTGTGCACTCTCATGACACCAATAATGTGCAACGATCGCTGCAATGGCAAAGCGATCAACGATCGCTGTAACTGTACCCATTAGAGCCGATGCGAAGTTGATGATCGAAGCGCAGCGCAGCGAAGCGAAATGATCTCAGCTCAAAGAACTGATCTAGATACAAAATATATCACTATGCCACACTGGAAACTGCAAGAGCAATCACTTTTATTTGCCGGAACTTTCATTGCCTCATTGTACTTATTGAGAATTGCAGTAAAATTTGTGGCATTTCTAGAAGAGTTTCTGCCGGAGTAGTATTCACTATAAATCATTGAATAAATCTCGGTCTGCTTCATTTTTTGGTTGTCTGCAGTTCGATGTTCAGAAAGAGTTAACATTGAACCAATTAACATTTATTGATCAAAGCTATGTTAGGCTATCGGCATTATCTTCGAACCAGATGAGTTTTTCTGCCTGTGCCACTTCAACACCGGGACATTGCATGGAGTACGCCTCTTGGTTATCAACCTCGTTATCGAATATGGTTATGTGTTTGGGTAATGTCGCATCGCCCATGAACTGCTCCAATTGTTCGCATAACGAGTCTGTATCATCTATGTAGTGACTATTGAGCTGACCAAAGTCTTCCTTTATATAAATCTCCCGCTGTTGATTGTGCCACACGTCTAGCACCTGTAGCTCTGGCAACTGCTTTAAGATCTGATCGGGCCAGTTAGAATCGTTGACATACGATATGCTCAAGCGCTTCAAATGCTGTGCGGGCCACGGATCGGGTATAGCTGGCAGCTGATCGAGGCCTGTCAAGTCCAGGTCCAGGAGACTGCTGGCATTGTGCAGGAACTCCAAGCTCTGCAGACGAGTATTGCTGAGCAGCAGCTGCTCCAGCTGCTCGAATTGATCTAGCTGCAGGCTCTCCAATGGACAGTTGTCGGCCTGCAGCTCACGTATGTGGCCAGTGAGATGTAATCGATGCAGTTGCGGATTGTCCGAGATTATCAGACGCTGCACAGAAGGAAAAGCGTTAGCTGAGATCCGCTTTAATCGATTGCCACGCGCTGAGAATTGCTGAAGCTGAGCCTGATCGGCACACAGTTTCTCGGGCAGCTCGGCTAGCTGATTGTTGTCCAGATTGAGTTGCTGTAGCTGCAGCAGATCTGTGAAAATACCAACGGGCAGTTGCTGCAGTTGATTGTCTTGCAGCCAGAGCTGCCTGAGCTTGTGCAGGCCAGCAAATACGCTGGCTGGCAAATTATCCAATCGATTATCAGCCAAATTCAATTCCTCCAGCTCGGTGGCCAGAGCGAAGGTTGCTGCATCAAGTTTGGATATTAGATTGCCAGCAAGTTGCAATTTCTTCAATTTGGTAGCACTCTCAAAGCATTCGGCTGCCACATGCTGCACTTGACAGCCTTGAACGTCCAAGTGCTCCAGTTTGCCCAGTGTGCGAAACACATTCAAGGGCAATCGATTCAAATGCGAATTACGCAACACTAAAATCGTCTGGTTATCCAGTTCTTTTCTGATTTCTGCTGTGAAATATGCTACTTCCGAGACGTCTGGATAGTTAAGCTCCTCGCACAGATACCCATTACATTTGATGCTAGTCACTGACACTTGCTTTGGCAGCGCCAAACAGCTGTTGCACAGCAGCCACAACAGACATAGATAAAATAGAACCGACATCTCCTCGCTAGACTTGCACTTCCGCAACTGAAATGTGTCAGTGACGAGATCCGCCTTTTTAAAGGTCCACTGCGCACGAGACAGTCGGCATTCTATCAAAGCCAAGCCATAGTCTAGCCAAAAACAGGTATAACCACAACTAAGAATGGAGCTTTTTGACTATTTAACTAAGAATGTTGCGCTTGGAGTGAACAAATCAGTAAACAACAAATAACTATCGAGAATTAGTTAAATAGAATTTTTTTACTTATTTATTTTTTATTTATTTATTTATTTTTTTAATTAATTTATTTATTTATTTATTTTTTTATTTATTTATTTTTTATTTATTTTTTTTATTTATATTTTTTTTTATTTATATTTTTTTTATTTAATTTTTTTTTTTATTTATTTCATTATTATTTTTATTTATTTTTTTTATTTTACTGTCTAAATATACTTTACTGTGCGAAATCTATATATTATATAGTATATTAGTTCATATACATTCATAATTCGAAATGCTACAAAACTATAAAATAGACCTCTGAACATCTATTTTTGTCAGTTTTTGTATAAAGCAATCTCTAGAATATTTCTCATTTATATTCAGAAAAATAATATTTATTATGATTATATATATAACAAAAAGTTTAAATTTAATTTTTATTATACTTTTGTTTAATATAAATAATTATCAACAATAAGAAATAGACGTTTCTTTTTCTATATCTATGGTCCTATATGCTAGCGCTGGTTTATCTAAATAAGTATATCCACTCGAATAAAGTTGAATTACAATGTGTAAGAAGTAATAGTTCGACAGGCACTTTAACTCTTTCCAGATCTAATCACATGCATATATTTGTTTTGGTTTATAGTCAACTCGTTTAGGCAAACGAAAGGCAAACATCTAAAGCGTATTCATATTTCGTTTGAGATAAATAAACTAATACTTTTTGATGTTATTCATGATTGCTATTCGACTTGAAAAAAAAAAAAAAAAGAAAAACCGCCCGCCGGCTTGTGTTGGAGCTAATAAAAATATTTGAATGTGCTCAATATGAATATTTGCGGCGTTAAGCTCTCTCTCTCTCTCTCTCTCTCTCTGTACAATAAAATTCAGATACAGCTTGGCGATAAGCACGTTCTGATCGCCCAATTCCAGAAACATGCATAAACAATGTTAAATTGAGTTGTGCTGCTTCAGTTTACGACAATTGGCATATCAGCTGTTGGCTATAAATATAATATATATACATATGTATATGTATAATTGTGCGTGGGGTGTGGCTTTATGTGGGCCAAGTTCAGCGATTAGCATGGCAACTGGGCGATAAGCCAGCCCTCTCACTGATATGGGGATCTGTGAAGGAGTTGCCTCAACAAAGGGCGAATAATATGATAGCAAGTGAAACATTTGTATTTTCGTTGGAAATAAAAATTAATTATTAAAGTGTAAAGCTGTTTGTGCCCCAGAAACCGATATACTTGTTGAAAATCGATATCAATATATGTATGTGCGTAAATCAATCGATTTGCTATTTGCTTCTTTTAAGTTAATAATAAAAATAATAAATAACAGCTGTCGCTATCTGAAGTATATTTGCCAGTATAATTCGATAGATAAACTCGAATATGTTTTTTGAATATTAATTGCATTTCTTTTTACGACATAAATTATTATCGATCTTATTTTATGAGTACTTATAGTTGATGCACAGTTTGTGCCAATGATATTCCTTTTATTTGTTGCAGAACTACGTCAATGTCCAAAATGGAATTCGATTTTGTCACACATTTTCGCACATGATCGTAAACTTGACGATGGGGCTCAATAGAAAATTGTTTCCATATTTGCAGGCGCCATAAAACGTCAGAGGCATTTACTGAGTCAACCGACTGATTGATTGTTTGTCAGTTGACTATATATACATAGTATATATAGAGCATAATATACACATGCGAGCATATTTATGTACGCATTTGTTTGCACAGCAAAACTATTAAGGAAAATTTGATTTAAATTAAACGCAACAAACAAATTCTCACTCGAGCACAAAGTCCCTTCGAATCTGTGTGTGTCTGGAGAGAGAGAGAGAGAGAGAGAGAGAGAGAGAAGTCTTCTGGCTGGTAGTCCGAGGGGTTTATGCTGGATTGTTGTGCTGCGATGCAAAGTAATTGGAGGCAAATTGAATTGAAGGAACGACAAAAATAAAGAATTGTATCGCTAAACGAAGTCATGCCGTTTCAATTGAGAGACAAGAGGGCAAAATGCTATATCTATATCTTATCTATATACATAAAAGCAATATATGTATATATACATAAGCACAAGTGTGCGTATATAAGTGTGTACACATATGTATAGGCTGCGTCTTCGACAAGAATTCGAAACAGCAATTGCCAATAAATAGATCGCTTGCTAATTACAAATTGACTAAAACAAACACTTGCCATAGAAATACATACAGATAGATATATCATATGTGTGTACAGCTATATACATACATATATATTATAATATCACCTATCACATATTTTTAATTTATTGAACAAATGCAAATTGCGTTATTTACTTCTGTTTGCTTGCGACTTAGCGTATTGGCCAGGAAACTGTTGCCAAAAGTTAATTGGATGGAAATTTGTTTGCATATAATTGAATTGTGCTTTAGTTTGCCTTTGTTTAGTCTTTGTTGGGGTTTTATTTTGCAGCCGGTGTTTATTTTTTGTCGAGCACTGTTAAAGGCAAATTGAGTGGCTGGAAAGCAGGTCGAACATGTTTAGCAAAAGCCATTATAATTTATATTTATTTGCATTTGGCTTTTACCTCTTGACTAGAAATTATAAATTATGACCGCTAATTAGCCATTTTAATTCTAAATACACATTTATGCATATGTGTTCGCATGTGTAAATTGGATTTTGGTTATTTTCGCTTATAAGCAAATATATTTATATGCTTACATTTCACACCTGTAGGCCGCAGCATTCAATAATGTTCAATAGTAATGGGGCTTTTTGCTAGCCGGCTAAAAGGGCAAGAGGCGATTACATTTTGGCCAACTGTCGCTCATAACTTTTTGAACACTTGCCAAATAATATACCAATCTACATACATACATACTATACAAATAAACAACAAAAAATCAACAGCAGAAAACAAGCCGTGAAATTGCTTGGCGTAAATTTGTTTATCAAGTCGTTGGTGAAATGCTCTATGAAATAAACCCCAGAGGTTTTATAAAATTGAATTTTACTATACATTTAGTGTGTTTAATTATGCCCACAAATCATATTAAGGGCTGAGGCCTTCAAACTATTTTGACGGCTTGCGACATATTTGTTGAACATGTGAAATTCTTTTGCCTTTAAATCCATGTGTTTAGAATGGCTTCTTATTAAATTGTGCGCATGCTATTTATAAGAACTGAACAGTATTTCATTTTATTTTTAATAACGCAATATTCATAGTATTTGATTTAATTAGTAGCACTTATTAAAACAATTTTCAAAATCATAAATATGAGACTCGAATGAAATATTTTCTACACACAAAATTTATCATAAAATACGTGAGCTCCAATTAATTTTCGAATGAAACCGGTTCGCATACGAAACACTCCATTCATTTTTTTTTTTTTTTCAAAGACATAGAAATAAAAAAATCTGGGTGGAAATGTCCAGCTAATATGCAAAACTTTTATGAGAAGCAAATAATTTGGTAGACAAATTTTATCTTATCTTATTTTATCTATCAAGGTTTGGCTGCGAAAAATCTGTATATGTCTTGACATACCTTTGTAAAATATGAAGATTAAAAAAAGTGATTATTATTATTTATGTAACCTAGCATAAGGATATAACAAATACTAGATGTTACTCTGAATCTATTAAGCAAATAATCAGGTAGACATGTATTTACATATGTTACGAGCCCTAATCTTAATTTATCTAACAGCCATTGTCTAGCTCTATCTGCTTATCTCGCAGTTAGAGCTTCAACTTGGACTATCTATAAACCACTCTGACACACCCCTCTCGTTCTTTCAATTTTTGTATTCACAATGTTTGCTCGAGTGCCCGTAAATGTGATCGTCCCGCTGTCTGCTAAAGTATATGTTATCAGATTAAAAAACAAAATAAAATAAAACCAACAAATGTGATTTGTTTTGAACAGAAAGCGCAAGGTAAACATACTAAAGTACACAGCTGTATATAAATGTTAATGTATATATGTAATATATATATACTTGTATATAGAACTGTGACTCTGATAAGCCACAAGTGAACATTGTGCGCTACGAAAGGTGAGGCTATATCAAGCATTGCATACTGGTTTTCAGTGCCACTTGAAACAGTTTTCTCGATTTGCATATGAAAAGTTCAAATATGCTTGGCCAAGTGTTATGGAAAGTCCAGAGAGGAAGAGCGAACGACTGAGAGAATTTTAGCTGGGCAGCGGGCAGAAGGCAGGGGCAATACTATTCAGAAAAAGTCACAAGCTGTGCAAATATTTCATTGGAATTATATAAATAGCCGCATTATAACATTAAAAAGTATTTCGAGCCGGCACGGATGTGCGACTTCAATTAGCTAGCGGTAGCAAAATATAATATAAAAATATATAAGCTAACATAATAAATAAAGCAACAACAAAAATGAAATTATTATACATATGTCAAAATGATGACAACAACAACAACAACAACAGCCGCAGCAGCAGAGGCAGTAGAATAGATTATATAGTTTCTAAATGTAATCACAATAATAGAGCTTTTCCACACTTTGTTGTCTATTTGGTTTTTAATGCCCTGAATGAATTATGGCTACATGAAATGTGCCATAAACTTTGTCACAATAATGATGAGCCAATGAATATTAAGTAAAATTTTAATTTATTTTTCAGTGCGAAAAATATATATTAAAAGCACAGATGAATCATAGACATTACTTATGAAATAACGAGTAGAATATTGAAATAAAAAATAATATTGTTTTCGAAAAATCATTAAATGACATCAGGGATCAACGATCAAAGTAAAAATGTAACAGGGGAGTTCATTATCCCCATGGATAAGATCTTTTTTCTTGATTCACTTTTCCACATTTACTATTTTATTATCTGCAGTCTGATTGATAAATATATTTTTGTCCATATATTATATACATTATAGACATAAATATATCGATCATAAAGACTACAGATAATAATATACAAATAAAATAATTTTCCATTGTACTCCCGCCTCTATTCTACATTTATTATTTTCCATGCTCTGTTTCTATAGTTTATCTGCATTGCATATTCTGTATTCCCTATAAGTACTCCCCATTTTTCTGGATTCTCGACAATAATAACAACAAGTAAACATGTAAAGAGTTTCGCATAGCTTAGCTAAATTGAACGACAAACAACAGCTGTTTGTCGTATTTCTCTCCACGATAAAGCTTTGATAAATAATCTGAAATTGTATTTAATCAGTTGACATAGACGAGCCTAATAAAGTTTGCTTAATGAAAGTTTAGTTTATATAGATGATAAATAGGCACAAAAACTACTGTCGATAAATGTTACGTTGTCGAGCTAGCGATTTTTCTATCTTGGTGAGTTTTTCCTTATATATGTATATAGATTTCCTTTTGTGTTCAGCGAAGCATTAATATAATTTGAATTGTTTAATTAGCATATAGCTCACATAAATAACGAAGCAATTGCATTTAATAGGAAATACTAACGCTCTCTATATTGAGTTAGAGTATTAAAGCAGAGGCCTGCACGCTGTGAATACAATTTCTTTTTTTCAGTAATTTGTTCATGTATAGATTTGTATATATGTATGTATGTATATGTACTTAATTGTGTTATTTTTTGTTGTTTCATTTTGCAAAATCAAAACACCATGAATAGAACAAATGATTATATAGAACTGATGAGCATGCGGTAGCTATACTAAATTTGCTAGCATGTTAAGCTGCCGCTGCTGCTGCTGCTGCTGTTGGTTATTGACGATGATCGCATTTTCAGTAGCCAGTGAAACGCGTTGCTTGAAACACGCATACGACATGAGAGCCCCACTTCGAATTGCAGCGCATTTGCCCATCTTGCTGCTGTTGCTGGCAGTCACAGTGACAGTTCAGGGGAGAACTGAAGATGACGAAGAGCTGCAAGTGTATTCAGAGGAATATGCAGCTGACACAACAGAGGATACATCCGAGGCCTCAACGGAACGAACTAACAAGTGGCGCATGGTGCACGTTCTGAGCCTGCAAGAGCATTGCGATATACATCAGGGAAATGGTCGCTGCAATGGTTTCAATTTCCAGGAGCCGGAAGAGTTGGCCTTCTTCGAGCTGTCCACACAGGTGCGCATTGCGTCAGATGGCGCCACCTATGAGCTGGGAGAAAAACAACCTCTGGCCACACTCATCATGGAGAACTCGACCTTCGTGAACTTCCCGCTGCATCTGTTCTACGAGCTGCCGCTGCTCAGCGAGCTGGATATGCGTCATTGTCGCATCAAGCATGTCAGCTGGGAGTGTTTCCTGGCTGCGGACAAGCTGAAGATTCTGCTGCTATCCGACAATGCCATCAGTGAGCTGGATGAGAACGTTTTTAACTATGCCACTGGACTGGAATTTATATTTTTGAACAACAATCGGCTGAGCCGCCTGCATCCGGATGCGTTCAAGGGACTGCAGCAGTTGCGACACCTCGATTTGAACGACAATCGGCTAGAGGAGCTGCCCGAGGGTCTCTTTGCCGATCTATCAATGCTCCATCACCTAACGATCGCAAATAATCGCTTGCGCTCTATCAGCAACGATTTGCTAGCGAAAAACGAACGCCTTCAGACAATCATTTTGCAGGGGAATCACTTACGCCAGCTGGGCGAATACGCGTTCAGCTCGGCACCTAAACTGCTCGTACTGGACGTATCGCACAATGAGCCGTTGGAGGTGCTCGTGCTTAACCTTAGTTCGGGCTATTTGCTGGCTAGCAATTGCTCGCTGCATCGCGTGAATATCTTTGGTGTTGTCAATAATGTCGATTTGGGGGACAATCGTGTGCAGGAGCTATACTTCACCAGCTCCGAGGCACTGGAGGATCTGGTGCTGCGCAACAACTCGCTGGTGCAGCTGGCAACGCTCTCGCAAGTGCCTCGACTGCGTCGCTTGAATGTGGCAAACAATCCGAACTTGCGCGAACTGCCCAGCGAATGGGAAACTCCAAAATTGGAAAGACTGGACTTGAGCAATACGGGCCTGGAGCAGCTGCCGCAAGCGGTGTTACGTGGCATGCCGCAGTTGCGGAAGCTCAACGTGTCGGTCAACAAGATAAGCGATATTGATCCAAGGGTAAGATATCATCGAATGTGAGGATGGGAATGATTTAGACATAGAATAATTTACAGTATTTTCCCATCAAATATTTCCGAATTTTGTACTTTTGATTCCCTTTTAATAACCACTCTTAATCGTATAATTCACAGAGTTTTCAGAACTTGTCGCAGCTAACACACTTCTTCATCCACGCAAACAACTGGAACTGCTACAATCTAAAGCTGGTAATGGAGATGCTTATAGAGGAGCACGGCATTACCTATGTGCCAGATAGAGTGGACGATAAGTTTCCGGGCATCTATATAAATGGCATTGCCTGCATGTATCGTCTGCCCGAACGAGAGCAGCTTCAAGTGGAGTCTGATTCGGAATCGCTGCAGCCCGCCTCCTCCTCCCACTCCTCCTCTTCGGCTAGCATGGAGTACAGAGAGGACAGCGAAGTGGAGAAATTACGCAACGAATTCAAATCTGTGGTACAGCACATGGAGAGCAAGTTCGATAGCGTCTTTGCACAACTCAAAATTCTGAATGCCAAGATGAGAAGCTTGGAGCGCATAAACAGTACTCTGTTTAGCAAGATGACAATCAGCTTGTGAATATCAAATTTATTTTGGTATATATATGTATATAAAGATAAAGGTGGGAGCATACATGTCAAAATTTCAAATTGTATTTCGCCGATCTGCGTTAATAGTTAATAAAGTAATAATTATGAAAGAGATATTAAGGGTTTGATATGCCAACGAATTGTGTAAGATAACAAATGTCAACTATTTGTTAGTGTCTGTGTTTTTCCTATCTGAGCTGGCAATGCTGTTAGGCAACCATTTAATGTGACAATCGTATGTCTTGGTATAGCATGGAAAATTCCCTTTTCCCTCTGCTTTTTTTTCGATCTGGCAATGCCACAAATCACAGCTGTTTCTGGTACTGAACTCAGCGTGTTTGTTCGACTTGAAGACCCCATTTTGAGTCACCTTGTGACGCAATTGAGCAAACAAAATATACATATGTATATAAGAATATTCCATGCCGTTACACACATATTTTGTAGCTTGATGGCAGTTTACAAATATTTTTCACAAGCTTAGCAAAATATTTACAGCCGAAATATTGATTTACGGGCCAAGCGAAGAGGCTTTAACAACGGGTTCATTCAACTTAAAGAGACGAAAATAAACCAGTTAACATATTAAGACAATAAATGAACATTATGAGGGCCTTGTAGGGTCATGAATAATTATGTGATTGCTGTAGTACTAAGGTATACAACAAAAAAATCAAGCTCATATGCAAAGATCAACAAAGTTCGTGTATGAAATCTTTGAGAGTCTTTTCTGCTTTGGCATTCTTAATCATTTTTAGTTAAAGAGAGAGCAAGATTGAAATATATAAATAAAACAACATTTTATACGCATACAAATTATTAAATATTCTAATAGCAGCTGTGTTGTCATTATACTAATTGATATATAAGCAAAAGCCAAACACGGAACAAAAATAATTTTATTCTTGAGGGACTTTGCAGTGAGATCGACAAATCTAATCAGATTGAAAGTAAATGTTTTTTGTTTTTTATTTTTTGTTAAATAAACATGTGACTGTTATATACGATCACACAATTGTTTATAATGGTTTGCCTATTTAACGGTAATTGGCATACACACACAAAAGCACAACTCGTGCCTGTTAAATGTAAACATTCTGTATTAGCCACAGACATTTAAAGCAAAACTAAAAACTGTTTTTCCGTTTCGAACTATACTATTATTACGCTAATACAATATAGAAAATATTTACAAAATCTCAAAAACAAATAAAACCAAATAAAAGAGAAACCTACGCTTTGAAGAGCTGCCTTAAATAGAAAAATAATAATAATAATGATAAAAAAATATACATTTAATCCATTTAATTTTGTAGAGTTTCTATTTGTCTTTACGGAAGTTCCTTGAGATGAAACACATTAAATGTTAAACACTTTTTGCCATTTCATCTATACAAATACAGAAAAAAAAACAATGTGACGGATAAGATAACAAAAAACTAAACTAAAACTAGATGCTAATGAGTAAATCTGCTATATAAAAGATTCAACTTATAAATACGTTTTTTTTTTTCTTTCAAAAATTGTCTAATTTCATTGATCTTTTGTATGATTTATAAACCATAAAATATGGCATACAAAATGCAAATAAGAACGCGATCTCATATCAACACAAGGAAAGTAAGGCATAATAAATATAAATCCATATTATATGTTAAATTGAAACATCATAAAATATAAATTAATGCCAGAAAAAAACAAATAACAAACCTGAGTTTAATCACAAACTGGAATTTGTTGTTGTTTGTTGTAGAAATCACAATTACTTTTATATAAAAAACTTAATTGAATTGTGTAGCTCGTTTGGCACTCTTCTTAATAATCACACACACTTAGGCACTTAAACGCATACGTACATATATGCAAGAATACATATACAATGAGATACACTTGGAAAATTTAGGGGTTGCTTGATTTTTGTAAACAATTTGAGCTGTAATTAGAACACGAATTTTGGTTGCTTAACATTTTGTAGTGGCATAATATAAAGATTAAACTTGAATTATTATGCTGTTTTCGTACTTTTTTTTTTTGTTTTTTTATATTTTTTTTTTTATTATTTTTGCAACCCACTTGAAGCGTTGTCGCCTGATTAGATTAATTTATAACACACAACATTTAGCTAATGTGACGTGTTTGTTGTTGTTTTATAATTATCAGACATATTGTTCAACAAGCAAATAAATCACATACGCACCGCACCGTACACGCAACAAAAACAAAAACAACAACAAACAACAAACAAATTTTTATGCAGGCGCGCGCACTTCCACTTTGGACTTTCCAATTGGAGCACGCATCAGAAACTGATCAGCAAAGCGGACAACTCAATGCACACAGCGCGCATGAGTGTAATAGTGATAGAGAGTGCGAGAGAGAGGGACAGGGAGCGACTGAGGCAGCCCGTTGCCTGCATGACAGAGTCGAAATTAATTTTATACTGCAATTGTATTACAACAGAGGCTCGCTGCTATGGGGAATTTCCATTGGTTGTTGTTGTTGTTGTTGCTGTAATTGGTTCCTGTTGTTGTTCTGTGCGTTTAACAGCTGATCAGCATACGCAGTTTGGCAGCTGGAAGCCGCTTATTGATTTTGTGTTTCGCTTGTATTTGCTTGTTATACATATGCAATATGTATTTGCATATATATATATATATTTCTTTTTTGTATTTCGTTTACAAAGCGTTTTGCGCATTACACTAAAGCAAATCATCTACAAGTGTTTCTGCTCGTTGCTATTGTTGCTTTTGTTTTGTACAAATTTCTTTGCGATGTCGACGTCAACGCAATAATAATGAAAAGCTTATCACAGAATATTTAAGCGACATGGAAAAATAACAGAAGCCATTTCGCTTGCTTATATTGTACAAACATTTGTACGCGTTTCTTTGATTTAATTTTCTGCCAAAAAGGCGCAACAGGTAAACACACACAGGCACAAACACATACACACATGCAGCCCACTGACAGGCAGCATTGGCGCGCGCGCGTTGCCCGACTGCCGCGTTCGATGTGGCCAATCACAAAATGAATTACAATTTACGCACAATTTATATCGCCTGCACTACATTTAACTTGTTGCGGCTGTTAATTGTACGCCACAGCTGGAAACTTGGGATGGGGATTGACGCCAATAAAAAAAGAATAAACGTAACGTTTTGTGACAAAATACGAGACAGAGTAATATCAACTTAACACGACAAAAATATATTGGTACTAAATTGTTATTGTGCAGAGTGTGACCGCCGCTGGCAACTGTAAAAATATCGTACCATGTGATACTGAAAAATACCAATTGTAATAACACTGATCGCATATTGTAAACAATCTAATCATATTGTCGTATACAAAATCGGAGAGAATACACAAAATTTTACTCTATACGCTGTAAATTATGGCAAACTGTGTGTTTTAAAATTGCTACATAAGATCATGTCATATTATAAAACAGGTAATTTAAAACAGTTACAGCCGTTATATTAAAAACTTTACTGTGCCTGTACGTGTATTGACCCCAACAAACAAATCGTATTGTGGTCTGGCAGCACTTAAAGCTGCCAGGGGTGCAGAAGCACGCATAGCAGCGAGCTTTTAGTCGCGATGCAAACAATGGCGCCAAATTCAAGTTACATTTGATTTGGCGTCGGCACTAAATATTTTTATCAACTTTAAAATTAAAATGTAACGCCGTAACCCACTCACACGACGAACAGCGTTTTTTTTACTCTTTTGCACGCCATTTGGTGGCGCATGCAAGAGAAAAACTCCATGGGAAAGATTTGTTTGTACCAGCGAAATCAATAAAAATGGCGCATTGCAATGAGAAAGGCTGACGACATTGGCGGCCAAGCAACCACCAAACTAACCCCCAGACCAATATTTAGAAGCCCCTTGGGTTGGCCATGACGGCATATTTCAGATGCTAAGATAATAAGTAAATGAGCCGATGCTCGACTCGTCTCGGCTTACCTGTTCAATGTCAAAGTCCCACTCTGGCGAGGGTGAGCGTCGCTCTGCTACCCCGCCGGGGGGCGGGGTGCTGACTGCCGGGGAGCCAGCGTGCGGCTCCTCCGGTATAACGGCGAATCTGCCGCGCTGCAAAATCGGTGAAATGGCGCCATAATTAGCTGCAACAAAGTGAAACAAAGAAAACAAAAACAATAACAATGTCAGCTTTTTTTGTTGTAGTCCAGCTAATTAGTGAGAGGGAAACGGATTGTTCACTTACATGTGGGTATGAGACGAAAGCGGCCCAGCGTCGTCTCTGGGGGTCCCGCCGGCTGCGACGATGTGACACGAAAGCGTCCCCGACGAGCGGCGGTCACCTCCTCGTAGCCCCCGCCGCCTGCAGCGGCTCCACCAGCGCCGCTTGGCATGTTGCTATACAAAGCTCACTGCTATACAACTGCTGCAATAGACGGAAGCGAGAGAGAGAGAGAGAGCGTTAGGCATTGTTGAGTAGGTGAGTCAGATGCACGCAGACTAGCTGCTAAAATCGATAGGTCAACTGGAGTTGACCAACAGAGAGGGGTTTAGGGTGGGGGGGAGTCGCACGTCTGGCGCCTTCGAGTATGCAGCAATTCGGCATCTTGTGCCAAATATACGTAATCGCAGTTTCTGAACAAAAGGAAACACTCTGTGTCATTCAACTGTTCCCGCTGTGCAAGAGGCAACGGAACGAAATGCCGATGTTAGAGAGAGACAGAGAACAGAGGCAACTGCTGTGCTGCTGGCAGACAAAGCGGCGTATGTGCGATACGAATGTAAAATTGAGCATGCTCTAGATATAGGGTATGACGATTTTGTTGCACTGTTTACTCTAATATGCAGCAGATAGCAAATGCCATTGCTGTGTGTGTGTGTGCATACATACATTTCTGATATATAGGGATAGGACACTTCACTTCGAAATAAAGTTGCCTACTTGATGAAGGATCTATAATCTATAACAAAATATTTTTATGAATAATAGCGTTGAATTAAAGTATGTAAAAAGCCTTGAAAGTAAGGCTATTAGATCATACATACATATATGTAAATCCC